ACAAAAAAGGATTTAGACTAAATTTGGCCATACATGTGTCTCTAAGAGAAACTCGACAATTCTCAGCAGAACAGTAGAAATCTATTGTATGACCTATGTTGGGAGTTATGAAAACGTCAATAAGCAGTTAATTTTGATCTTCTTATATACTGCTCACCCTGTTTCTTTTCCCTGCTTAATTTCCTTTACCGTAGTCTGTGTTAAGTTTTTTACGATATCAAGTAAGTTAGAATATGGCTCTTGTTTTTCATTATTTTCACAATGAATTTTATTTTAAACTAGACTGAGAGATTTGTATTGGGCAAATATATGTAGTAATATCCTAAAAACCATAGTATCATTTCTTTTTTTGAAAAATGTAGAAGAGGTTTTCATTTGTCTAAGTAATCCATTCTTATCTAATTTGCTTTAAGTTGAGATGAGCTCTCACTAACTAGAGATATCACATGCGCCTTCAGTTTCTGAGTACGCTAGATGTCACTCATAATTTAGTATATGAACTTGAATCACCGAGTTTGATGTCATTATATATCTTTGAAAAACATTCAGTTCGTTCAACAATGGAAGTAAAAATGCTGATTAGGAAGAAGATTCTCCATTCACACGATTTTATGAAAATGAATGAAAATTAGACGTCTTGTTTGCATGTATGTTTACGGTGTATGCATTACTGAAAGCTTATTGGTCAATGATCACTATTTTTCACTTCTTTTTTAAAGTCTTGATTTCATGCAATACCATCTAGGTAGCATGCTCACCTACAAAATATGGATATGTATAGACAGACTGAGATTGAGGTGATGCAGTCAAATTTAACTGTTTCCGTTGCTTTGATATTATGCATACTCACAGAAGAAATACCAATTTCACCTCTTACAACTATTTTATTCTGGTACTTCCCCTGTGCAAAATTTAAGTTCTTTCATTTCAAAGTCAAGAACAATGACAAAGTGCGATTGTAAATGAAGTAGCTGGAGCGTTTGTTCTGAACGACTGCAAGTCGCTGTTTTCTACACACAGTAAAAAGTAATATCACTTGGTAAATTGAAAGCAATCTTGTTTTCATACTCGGTTATTGTTGCCTTGATTATGGTGATCAAATTGAAGTGCATATCAGTCACATAGATAAATAAGTGACAGTATTTCTTTTGTAGTAATAAACTGCTCAATGTTAGCTATTCATAGACAAACTTATGGTATAAGTAGTTATGCTGCCTAAGCACCACACATGACTTGGATAACGTCGAATTTATCGATCGGCAGAAAGTTAGTCACTCAGACTAATATACTCGATAGACGGTAACAGATAATGTGAGTAGATTGGACAACCTTAGTTTTTTCTCCTGTTCAGTGTTATTCAGGCCAAATGATAGATAGACAAATCAACGTAGAACCTGACAAAGAAGTGAATCCGTTCAAGTTGCCACACAACACAGCAGCATAGAAAGAACAAGTGGATAGTGCTGACCGGAGATATTAGTTATCAAACCAGAATTGTAAGAGATGATCACCGTTTACGGTTGGCTGGCATGAGATACCGTAGAGGCCTCCGAGATGCCTTTATGATTGGCTCAGGTTCCCCACTTGAGCATCGAAGTCACCTATTGAATAGGACTTGGTTTCCTCTTCTGCCGATCGAAAATCGTTGTAAACAGTTGACGGGTGAAGAGTATTTCTTTCTTAAGTAAACGCTGATGAAGTAGTCTAGTCTAGTGGTAAAACGTTCAAAAACAAATCTAAAAATCCAAGTATCTAGCAGACTGCAATAAAAGATACTTTTTGCTGAATATTTATGACTAACTTTTCACAAGAGGGTTGAATCCAGATTAATATAACTACGATAATGCAAAACATGGAAGAACTGAGTAGTGAGAAACCGAATATTCAGACGGTATACGAAATGACCAGAAGTCCACTTTTCATCAAGTTTCCTAATTGTATCTTATAGTGTACATCGAGCACTTATCTAGTTTAAAGCCCTTTTACCAATGTACAATTTAACAATATGAACATTTTGATAATGTTGTGTTCCTTGAGGTCGATGACCATGTTATAACAGACCGGAGAAAAAGAGGTGAAATCTGACTAAGTATACTTTAACTGATTGTTGCATCTCTTTTAAAAACGTTTTACCCGGAAGTCACTTCATAGTATTATTTCGCAACTTTCTTTACAAGCTTCCTAAAGACCCGTTGATGATTGTTTTAGTGGGAAGTTGTGGTTAGCCAACTGTAAGTTATGCCCATCCGTTTAAAGCCTAAATGGATGTGCACCAGTGTAATTTGTGTCGCTGACATACTATTCATCTAGATAGATGGATTACGTGCAAATCTAATGAACGAGAAGGAAAATGACAGTTGAGTGGCTGTAAGTAGCCCGTCTTTTGTCCAGTCTATTCGGCAAGTCATATATGTGGAAAAAGCGCAGACAGACATATTGGTGTTCCAACAGTGAGGCGAGTAGAAAGGGGCAACTCTAAGGCCAATCGTTGAAATAGCCAACTAGTTTTCTCTCTTTCGACTCGACTGATAACACTTTCATACATAAATAAACCTAAATGGTTGTTTCACTAGTTGCTAGAGAAGCCTATAAGGTCACTCAGAAATTAGTAATCACATGACGGTGTCGGAGTGATATTTTGCATTGATCGGTTAGAGCGCGTGATCCAAGTTATGCCACCTTGTTTGTTACTATAACAATGTACCCGATACTAAGTTAACAAAGTCGGAAATATTAATCACAGCATACTCCCTCAGAGGAAATTCGAATATATTGCTGTAGACTGACATTATTAAGATTTTACTACATTATTCATTGTTCAAGATGAACTTATTAACCACATAGTTAGTCTTCTGCAGGCGAAGAATTTATCTAACACTTATATTTACCCATTGCTAATTCCGTTCACTAACTCCTAATATTTAGGAATATAATGTTTTCTATGCCAGAAAGTGTTATATTCGCCAAACACTTAAGTCATAAATTGTAAACGAAAGAGAGAACATCGGTTATTCTAATGCCAAAGGTAAACAATTCACGACTAAATCAAAAATTTATCATGAGTTCCAGGCAAAAACCAAATTTCTTCGCGTAAATTTTATCGAGACCACTGCAGGACTCGATGAACACTCCCCACTGCTAAACTACTACTAGGCATACAGCAGTCAGTGGAATACGTACACTGATGTCCATGATGGATAGGATTTGGTCAGTACTTAGGACTAGACAAAATGAAATTGGTTACTCTCCAGTAATTAACCAAGGTATCTCCTCTAGTCCTACAGGAGGTCCACTGCTACCTGAATAGCTCAGTTGTAACGTCAGCAACAGCAACGAATGATGCAGGTTCGAATACCTCAGGGGACATCAGTTCCCTCGAGGTCGCAGATACACCTTGCTGACGTGTGCCAACAACCATGAAGTCCAGATCCAAGGCTTTCCGTCAATTACCTTTAAACTCCATCTATCTAATATCAATTATAGGTTGTTGAAAGTTATAAACATGATGACAAGATATTAGTTACTAGTTATTAGTAATCTTGTGTAAATAGTTGAGGCATTCATAGTGCAGCGAGATTTCAATAAGGTACGTCCAACATGTTTAGTTGCGGCGAATTAGATTAAAATAGTACTTTTGTTTGGCAGATTTCTGTACATTGAAATACTGTCTATTCACTACACAAGATAGCTGAACACGTTTTGCTTATGATTTTGATGCTATAGACAGCTCACAAGAATAAATACAGAAAGAATGGCGGCTAAATGACCAAGTGTATACATTTAATGATAATATTTAATGAAACAAACAGTCTATTATAAATAGGTGTAAATGGGATAATATAACATCAAACAGTATATAATGTCTTGAAAAAATAGGAAGATGAGTAATTAGTCGATAAAATTTCACCAAGAGATTTAAGTTTGGTGTACCACTTCGCTAAGACAACAGCCTTGTCCTGAATAATATCAGTCCAAGTTAACAAGCTTAACACAACAACAGAAGAAAAAGTGAATAGGGATAATATACCATCAAAACAGCCGAAAAGTGAATTTATGAAAACAGAAAATAAATAGATAAATGTCCATAAGATGTCTAGGATTCTTCAAAAGGTAAGAAATGAACATATTTACATTAGTGCGATCAATCTGGAGCTATTTCGTCGGAGGTTATCCGTTTACTGATTTTTAATGTCTCCAGAACCTTAATAATCAATGGTCAGCAGGTTATGAATCCATGTATTTTTAACTGTGAAGTATTGATTTGTGACATAAAAAAAACTCCAAATAATTCAAAAGAGAAACATCACATACATTTGGATGGGGTAGAAAACATTTTGATGCATGTTAGATTTATCTTGTTATATAGCAGAGAATAAACAAACGTGACATGGATACTGATATACAATCAGTTAGCAGTGACAACAACATAAGAATCGACCTCTCAACAGTCCAAACTACTATCAAATTATCAGTATTCACTTGTCTCACGTGACACCAAATTCATTCAGTGAACTCAGCATACATTAGTCAATTACAGCACTTTACTAATGGGCTACTTATCCACGCTCACAAACCCTAGTTCGACTAATTATTCTATGCAATCACTGGCTTTTCCCCCTGCCGACTGTTGTTTAGAATGTAGTACACTACATGAAGATGATCAGGATCACAAGATGTTGTTATCGACGCTCATTTTTAGGTATAAAGTATTTGTTAATGTCATATGTTTACTATTGAGTAATACCACTTCTGTCTTGTGATATCTAAACTCTATAATAATAACAAAAACACTTAATTGATATGTAGTTACTCTAGCATTCACGTATAGTCTACAAATTTAATCCCAGCACTCAAATCTGGTCTAAAAATGTTGACATTGTTATTAAACATATCTATTTTCATGAGAATATGGAAGTTATAAAAAAGTCATATATATATATATATATATATATATATATATATATATATATATATATATATATATATATATATATATATATGCTCAACAAAGAAAAAGAAAATGTCCATCGTTTCAACAAATATTAGGAGCAAAAGGATCAATAAAATACGCTGACAAAAAAAGCACTCCCCAATGAAACTATAGTGTAAATGATGTATCAACACATTTGACCGGGAGAAAAACTGATTCAAGAAATCTGAGGCAAACCGAATTCATCCAATGTAACATTCTACAAAAGATAAAAACAATACAAAAATATGTATAACTGTGTGAACTGATACAAATAAATATAAATATCTTAAAGGGAAATAATACAACTCATAAATCTTGTACAGGATTATTGGTTTATTAGGTTTATCACACACTGTCACAGTACTGTTTACTGGATTACGTTTCGGATATCATTTATTGTCCATAGTCATATCAAGATAACGGGAGAACTTTGAGACGTCCTTTATATAGTTCTATTTTCCTCTCCCCCTTCGTGATATAGGTAGTGAGATTTGCCATGTACCCGGAACAGGTGCTGAGTCATTCCTGTTGCGTGTATTAGATGTCGATTCGATAAACAAAGATCCAGTCATCAACCTCTCCCTCCACCTTGCTATGTTAGTTTTACGGATTTTGCCCTGTCCCATCCTATGGTGTGGTTGCGTGTAATTCCATGCATTGGTATGGCTGAGTTTTTTTCTAAATTCGTTACTTTAGTAGGATCTACTAATTTTGACCTAACTAGGTTGTTGTTCTCAAATAGTCTAATTGACCGTAGTCGACTACTTTGACCAATGTATTTGACCTCGCAATTGTTTCAAGGTATTTGGTAAACTAAGTTATTCTAATTAACTAGATCAATAGGATCTTTTAATCTACGACGATTATTTCTAAGTGAGTTTTTAAACCTAAAAAGCTACAAACTCCAGTTGGCAACCGCTTCCCTTTCGACTGATTGACCTCACAGGTCACGACTTCTCATTAGAACTTCGGGATATCCATCGGGAAGTGTGTCACTAATGAACACTATACATTACCTAATACATGCAACAGGAATAACTCAGCACCTGTTCCGGGTACATGGCAAATCTCACTACCTATATCACGAAGGGGGAGGAGAAAATAGAACTATATAAAGGACGTCTCAAAGTTGTCCCGTTATCTTGGTATGACTATGGACAATAAATGATGTCCAAAACGTAATCCAGTAAACAGTACTGTGACACTGTGTGGTAAATCTAATAAATCAACTAAAATAGAACTAAAATACAGACACTACCAAGTTTTTAAGCCAGTGAAAGTCGCGTTAACCAACGGTTACTAGGCCATTTAATTACCGATACCACTGACGCATTCAATTACAAATCCCATAAATAGAACAGTGATTTGTGATGATACATATGATGTAATGTGTTAGCTCTGATAATGACACTCGGTTATTCCGATTAAAACAGGTGAATTGGCTTGAAACAAATGACTCAGTGATTGAAGACCAAGTACCTTTATGAATAGATAGAAATTTTACCGAGGACTATGGAATAGTCCACTAATGGAGAATTACAGAACTTTGATGAATTTGAAATCAAGGAAATTATTCACAAACTTTACAGTCCCATAAATGATCATAACTAATATATGAATATCTCTATTATTATTATTATTATTATTATTATTATTATTATTATTATTATTATTATTATTATTATTATTGTTTTAGCCATCTTTTTCTCCCCCTGCTGTCTCTAATTACCGTCAACAATTTAGCACTTGATGTAACACTTCATCTTCGCTCCTTTTTTCGCGTCAACTACTATTATACAAAATATCAACTATGTAACAACCTGTTTAAAATTTCACAGAATTTTTCCACTATAATTAGTCTATGCCTTAGTTAATTGTCTTAACTGCCTAATCAGTCACCTTCTTGATACTGGGATTGACAAGGTCTTTATTAATTTATACTCCTTTAAAAATTACCATAAGCCACAGATGACAAATACTCTACTAAGGAATATATGTAGCTGGATAGCAGTTATCCCAACTAACAAGTTTAGGCAATTTATAATGGTAATCCTATTCATTTACACTTGTTTTCTGCTCAATACCTTTAAAAATATAGAACTAAGCTGATTTTTTCGTTATAACCAGTCCCTTGAAAACAGTCAAATGCTAATTTGTAGGTTTATGAACTAAACTGAGCTGCATTTTTTGTATAGTTGTCAGTATCAATGCCTAGCTTTCAATATCTCTTTGAGTGGGATAAGATTCGAAATCAGGATATGTTAGGCGAAACCCAACCCCTTATACCGATGATTAATGATCTGAATAATTACTTAGAATGCCAACCGTATAGAAAACTTGATCCAGTCAGCATTTAGGACTAGATATAATATTAGTTACACTTTAGTAACGGAAGAGTGAAACAAAATATGCTAGAAATTGTGTGAGGTGTTCCTCAGGTGCATAGTTTCTGAACTCCAAAGAATTTTTATTGAGGAAAATGCAAATTAAACCCAAATGATGACCTTAAATTTAAACTTTAACTTCTAAACTTACTATTTCTTTTCTGCTTACTTTGCCTACGATTCTAGATCTACTTACTTTTGAGCTATTTCTCATTGAAAATCACAGTACATTTTTCTTCGCTTCAAAGATTAAACAATTTGTAAATCCCTTAGTTTTGATGGAGTAACTATATATATAACGTACAAGTAATAAGTAATTCTAAAAGGTGCACCTTACAATCCTATCTCTTTTAACTTCACTCAACTAACTCCAGTACAAAACGAGCTGTAATTCAATTCAAAATATCCTCTTCAGAATTCGATAAAACTGATTACTACATCGCAAATCCACACGAAACGATCGAAAAACCAAAAGCATACAGTAGGTAACTCAGAACTTATCGAGATGATAACAAGAATGTGAAACAAGACCATAAACACTCACAAAACTTATCATTATATAAATTATCATCTGACTTTCTGAGATAGCCGTAGTTTGGCAGACTAGTATTTATACTGGGTGGTGATTGAAGGTGAGATGAAAATCTGGACCGCGGCCGGATTCGAACCAGCGACCACCTTATGAGTGAGAATTCACTAAGTTGTGGCAAGGTGAAATTTGAGACGTTATTCAATTGGCTGCTAGTGTTGTGAACACTAGGATAGGGTGGCCAAATAGATGTGACTAAGAAACTGACAGTGTTTAATTACAAAAGAAGTGAATTCAAGAACACAAAATGACCAGCTAACTGATGGAATTTCATGTGCATATCTCGATGAAATAAATAATTATGTCCGAAAAAATATGTGAGTGAAAAGAATATAAGTGTGAACTACTCATCAAATAACATATAGTCAACCAAAGGTTTAATAAAAAACACTTGACAGCTGAGTTATTGTGGCTCGGTATACGGCTGCAGTTTTGTTCAGTATGACAGCGACTGAAGTTATTTGAGATCGACATAAACAACCTGACATAATCAAGTATCGGCCCAAAAACCACTGCACATCATACCAGCACACTGAGGTAAAGCTCAAAAAGAGAAGACAGCAAAATGGCAGCCATAAGACAAAAGAGAGTAGATAAAGGGAATGAAGATATATGGCATTACCATTCAAGTGAAGACATGTTGTACATTCATCTATGTCACTACAATTTCTGGAGATATTCCGTACAGTCTCCAAAAATCGACTCTAGATGTCACTCAAAACCAAGTAACTGTCAGTTGAGGAACTCACAGTCAATGAACGGAGTTATGAGGAACAGTGTCATTATAACCATCTACAACTCAGTTGAAATGATCAGATGATATTTTCAGCTTTTTCACAAATAGGACCATGTCTTGACAGATGATACAATGGTTAAATTCAACGACACTTAACTGAATATGATAATTTATTTAAATATGTCTAGTGGTTTGACACTGCCAGAAACAGTAACATGGGTCATTAATTTAAATACTTGCAGATCATTTCAGATACGTTAGATAAATACTTTTAAAATTTATCAGCATACACTCAGAACTCAATCATGGAAACTAGATGAAACGAAGGTACTTATAGTTAACCTGGACTACCACTGACTACAGATATAGGCCTTTTTCTATCAACAGAATAATTAATTTACAGTGGCTAAGATGAAGATACTTAATAAATAAAGATGCTAATAAAATAGGTTTTCCTGAATGTCATGAATAAAAATGTCCAAATATTTGGTACATAAACTGAATGATGTTAAAAAAGAACATGAAGAAGGCACCAAGATGCTGACTATCTCATTTACTTCGGTAAATAAAACTCTACCCGTTGGTTCAGTACCGAAATACCTTGGGTTGCAGTACTTTGATTGCGATGGCACATGAGTTCAAACTTGGCTTGATCCACTGGAATTTACGAAAATAGATAGCATCACTTATAAAACTAGTGTTCTTGGTAAATATGTTGTTGAATTCGTACCAAGAAAGAATGAGAGCAGCAACCAACCAAATAAGTTTGTCATTCATATATCTATCTTTGTTCTCAGTCCCTGACAACCTGATTGCCCGATCTACGCTTTTGGGCCTTGTACATTTCCCACATTCAGCCACATACAATACAATTGTGCATTTTGAACTGACAGTCTAACTTCATTTTCTCTGTGAGTCGGCTGCTGTGGTGTTAGTGGCTGTAGGATCAACTCACATAGAGTAACTTAGTAAATAACAATAGTTAGGACCTTTCGTCATAAGACCCATTAGGAAACACTAACCGAGGTTGAGACCAGCAACAACGGCCAAACCGTCAGGGCAGAGATATATCAGTGGGGACGGAGTAACCCAGGAATATCACATAAATCTGAACATTTCCTGGATGGATTATACCAAATTAATTAGGGTATGGATACGGAAGGCTTGAAGATAATTATGTTGCTTGAGAGATACGTCATGTTGGACTGAAGTATACCTTTCAAACAAGGAAAGAATGGTTATCTGCATCAAATTTTATAGCTGTGAAAAGTAACCATCAGAATCATGTTTTAATTACGATAAAAAGTATTCTTAAGAGTAAACATTGACTAATTAGACTTGCCAGAGGTCGACGGTGCAAATCTTGCAACGACCTATGTTTTCATTTCTCTTTCGATTACCACTTGTTATGAATGACACCAGTCTGACAAAACGTGGCAATCTTAAATAGAATCGTAAGTAAAAATAATTATACTAACAGTAAAGTAATAGCTTCCGATACCTGTATGTTGTTGTTAAGATTTCTCATAACCCTGACTAATGCACATGACTACTAGACTGGAGGTGACTTCAGGTGGACAAACATTAAATGCTTCACAAAAAGTTAGAGGATTATGTTAATTAAAAATACAGGTAAGCTGGTAGATTATAGTCCATTGGATCAATGCAGGATAGAAATGGGTATCATGTAAAGAAATACAACTATTTTTCAAAAAACCTAATCAACAATGAGTCGTATTATTTTATTGCTAAAAGGCTCATTTACTAATAATTAGATTTATTTGACTGCATTCCGATAAATAAAACCGACTTATTATTGATTGGATTACTTAAATCAACGTAATAATTTTCTTCAATGTTATAAATAATATGCATGGTTTCCAATTCATAGAACGTGATAAAGACAGTAAAACTCACTGATGGTTTGGTACCACCTGTTGCTGGAGTGGGTACACTTTCCCCGGGAATCCCCGACGGGACAGAGGGTGCGGTAAACTCTTCACCCAAATAGCTTGTATCAGCACCTAGTTCATCGCACAGACCCATCAGTTCTTCTTCTAGCTCAGATTCATTAACATCGGGTGTCGCGTAAGACTGGCCAAGAATATCTTGTAATTCATCAGTTGAAACAAGCAAATCAGCTAAATCATCCTGAAGGTCCTGTTAAGATAAAATCAAAGTGTAGATAACCAACATTGTATCTGACTAGTCTTAACCATCAAGAAATTACCGCAATACTCGAATATTTAGCCGCTGATAACAGACATATGAGAAACGTAGTTCATGTAATGCTGGTTAAGGGTGCAAAACGTCAAGGAAAACTGAGTTTTCGGAGATTTTCATACTTATTTAACAAAAGGTGAACATAGAACTTGTCAGAGGGCTAATTTATCCAGTTACAAATCATGACGAAAACATAAACCAATGCAACTTACACGTGCATATTCCTGTATCGGTTGTAAACCATAACGTCTGAATAAGACTTAGTGTTACTTATTTGGATATTAGAAGTTATAAAAGTTCTTTTTATAGCCACATTGTCAACATCTTTTATCAGTAACTTAAAACAGGCAACGTCATATCAGCTGGATAAAAAAACGTTCTCCTTTTATAGTAGTTTCAACAATAAAGTATGGTGATGGTATTAGGTAGAAGAAAGTAGCAATAATCGGAAATATGGGGGCCGGTACACAAAGCTTCCAGACTGAAAAGTACCTATTAAAAAAATCATTAAAATAAAACCAATGGCACAATGACTAATGGTTTTGCATGCAAGACGCATCTAACTCTTAAAACTATTGGGTTAGAAATTATCTGAGATTATCTGAAATTATCTAGAGAGTCACGACCAACATACACACTAGCAGTAAGTCATCTATTTTAGTGTCATACCATGAATACCTAACTAGTCTCAAGATAGAGAAGTAATAATGAATAAAGCAAGTAGCCTAATTGTTTGCATTAAATCCGTTCAAGTCAGTTTCTTCGTATATGTTATGACTGAAAGCTGTTGCCAAGATACGATAATCTGGTTTGCTTATCATAATACTCTCAGCTACTTTCGGTAAAAAATTTTACATGAGGTGCTACCACAGCTAAAAGGTGGCTTGAATATTAATAAGGTCAAAAAGGTCGATGTCAGCGAAAACTACGCTCGGATGGTTCAAGGACGAGACAGTAAAGCTAGATGAAAGAGGATATCAAATAGTACGGTGTCACCAAAGTTTTGGCTATGTCGTTGTTTTCCTCTAATCAAGAAAAAACAAGAAGACTTTACGACTGTCGAACCCAAGTTTTCTGATCACCATTACCCTCCATTGTTCCTCTTATCTTCAGTGATCTTCACTATTAGTTGGGACTGAGCTCCAGTTGTTTTAAACTCTTACATTGAAGCCATTGTTAACAGTTTAAGCTTACAGTGCAGTTCCTAACCTTCTAGTTACTTTGCAAGTGCTAGACAGGCAGTTTAAGTGAGCTGATGAATGGATATAACTCAGCTCTATAGCACGTAGTGCAACCCTTAAGTACAGTCTAGCTGATGTAAACTATTGAGTGACTCTAGTGAGGTCTGTAGAGTCGCTACAACATCATTATAAGTTGATGTACTGACCTTGTATTACCATTCAATTAGGAAAACATACTAAAGTTTGTGTGTGATTCTGTAGGGAAAAACATACTTCGACGTTGTTCAAGTCAATGCGTTTCATTTCCTTCTTCAACTCTTTGGCACCAATTTTCATTGCATCTACCGTAGTTTTTGTGTCACGCACAGTTTGTATTGCAAAGTTAGTTTGCTCAATATTAAAGCTTTGATTGGAAAGCTGCTCCTTTTGATGCTCGTAGACCTTCTTTTGTTTAAGTATTCTTAGTGCCTTCATTTTTATGTTGTTTTTCGCAGGGCCCTCACGCATCTTTTGCATTTGTTGTTGATATTTTTTGAGTTCCGCATCTAGTTTTCAATCTTCTTATCAACAGAGTCAACACGGCCATCCACCTAGAATACGAAAATATTTAGATTGATACACTTACATTTGCAACCACATCTGTCAAGTTTGGAGGTGGTAATTTCGGTTTAGACTGCCCGAAGATCCGATTCATAGCACACAGACCAAATCTAGCAGATGACCTTGACTAACGAAATTGGTAAGCAAAAACCTTACCCAGTTACTGACAGTTATAAGGATAGTAGGCCAGTTGGTCTGTGTTAATCCTTGCAGAAGATGTCTCTGTGAGGATCTAGTTCCCCTTTTAACGCGTTGACAGAAGGTGCTGAGGTAAGGAGTTCCAGGCGTTGACAACACCATGTGAAAAATGCAAATTCACTCTAAGTTGATTCGATCGCGGTTGTTGAATTTTCTTGTAATGCCCTCGGAGATAGTCAGTCCTAGTATGGAGAGAAGATAGGACACGTCATTACTGAAGTCATTATTAAGAATGCGAAATGCCAGTAGGAGATCACACCGTTTCCTACGGTGAGACAGTTGGAACAAGTTTAGCCGATCTAGTCCTTCCTCATAGGACAGATTCGAAAGGCCTGTCACAAGCTTAGTACCCACATTCTGAACGCGCTCAAGTGCGTCAGCATCCGTTTTTAGTCATGGGCTGGCCGCCTGAATGTCGTATTTCAAGTGAGGCCTAACGTAAGTAGAGTATTCTAAACATGTCCTGATCAAAACATTTGAAAGCTCTGCGTATGGACCATAATAAGCGGAGGTCCTTTGCTGTAGCTGCATTACAGTTTGCTGAGGTTTCCAAATCATGGCCAATGATGACATACAAGTCTTTTAGTTCAAAGCCTAGGAATAACGGTGTACCATCAACAGAATACTGGAAAGAATTGCTACTACCAGTGTGGATAATTGCACGTCTGTTAGAGTTGATTTTCAGACAGCAGCTTTTGGAACAACCTACTGGTTCATCTAAATCCACTTGAAGTGCATACCTATCTGCATCCAACATCTAGCTTCAATATTGCGAGTAGAGGAAACTTGTAGTGTTTGAGCTCTTGCTTTTAGGTCTTGAGGCTCGGTTCTTTTTGTTCGTTTGTACTCCTTTAGTGGTCTCAGAAGCCTTTGCGTCTTCCTGCTTACAGCTTCGGAGGTGGTGATTGTCTTTCTGAGGGTATTTTTGTTACAAATTGTGGCTTGGTTTGTTTTTGGGTTGCAATGGAGCTGCTGATACGGTCAATCAACCGTTTGCAATTCCTGTTGCTGTAGGCACTTGAAGGTAGATAATAAGCGTTACTTAAAAATCGGTAGAAGAAGCGTGAGTGGGGAGTGAGAAAAGGAGTGGAAAGTACTTATGAAAAGATAAATGTAACTGGTAATTATATGGAGGAGAGATGCCTCTTACTGTAAATACCAGGATTGGGGAATACGAGGGTGGAAGGGTGTATCATCGGTTGCTGCCGACAAATGTTCGCGATAAGCCATTTGCCCTCACATACTCATATAAGTTTGAGGGAGTTGACTGATGTGGCTGTGGCCACTTCCTTTGGCAGAGCGTTCCATAAGGCACATACTCTGTGGGAAAAGAAGTTAGATCTCACTCTTATCTTTGCTCTGTGGGGGGGGGTATGCAAGTCGGGTTCCCCCAGGACTGTCGGTTTTGGACCGATAACGCTGTCTTTCACAGGTTTAGTCTCAATTCTTTCTCTGTGAGCACCTTGGTTATTGCACACTTTTTAAGAGTGTGGCTGGTTTTCATCGCCTCTGGTGAGCAAAGATACATCACTTTGCATTTCTACGGGTTTAGGTTAAACCGCTCGCAGTCGACCAGGACTGCAGCTGCAACAGGTCGGTTTGGAGTATCCTAGGGTCCTCTTCGTCACCTATCGTCCTGCATACTCTGATGCCGTCGGCTAATAGGAGGACAGATGAGATTTTAATCGGGAGGTCGTTTATGAATGGTGAAAATGGGAGTGGCGCAAGGATCTCTTCTTGAGAAACTCCTGTCCTTGAATTCCCCCAAGTTGGCTCAGAATTTTATGTCCCCTAGGTATGCTGTAAACCATGCTAAGAGCGGTTTAATGACACCAGCTTTGGCAAGTTCGGTGGGCATGGTGAAGTGTGGGACGCCATCGAAAGCTTTGTCCAAGTCCAAGGAGATAACGTGAACTGGTCGTTTGTTATCCCACTTAGTGGTCTAGTCATCCCAAGCGGTCATCAGGTTTGTGGTACATGACCGCCCGGTTCTGAGGCCATGCTGGGTGGGATGGACGGTATTGTTTCTGTTCAGGTAGTCTCAAGCAACATCTGAGGCCGGGCTTCCCAGTACCTTGGAAAGTAAGGGGAGTAGTGCTATTGGTCTTCAGTTGCACGGGTTTGTTCGGTCTCCCCCCTTGAAGATTGGTGAAAGGATGGAGTGTTTCTATTCCTTGGGGAGTTGGCTTAATTCCAACGAGTGCGCGAACAGGTTGCATATGAGTATGGTCAGAACCTTGGCACAGTCGCTTAGAGCCACCGGTATTACGTCATCACATCTGGGAGATTTCCCTATTCTCAGTGCTGAAAGTTTTGCAAACACTTGGTTTGGCGAAATCTTCGCGTTCGTCAGCTTTGTATCGCAGTCCTGGGACTTCGTTACATTAACAAATGTTGATAGCGGATGTATTACGGGGCTGAGTTGCTCGTCAACTCGACCGCTCATCAGTTCTGTCACCTTGCTTCTGTTCAAAAACCGTCCGACCGGCCCTCTGATCAGCTTTAAACCCTTATCCGTTGGTTCGCACTGTGACACAAACCAATACGGACTTTTCGGGTTGCAGCCTAACTGTTTAGCCAGGTTGCGCTGGTATGTGCGCCTGTCATAACGAATCCTTATATTACGTAAGTGACGTAGCACCTTGTAGCTATGGAAGTCCGATTCTTTGCGCGATCTACGCCACCGATTCCACGCCCTCTTTTCCCTCCGTATTTACCTCTGGGTTGTACGAGTTACCTATGACTGTTTGAGAGGTAGCCGTCTGGTTAATTTTGGGACGCTCTTATCAACAGCACCCGAAATTATATCTTTAGTGTGTATCCAGTTTTCGTCTACCGATAGTGAGTGCCATTCTTGTGGTCATACAGCCTCCAGGAATTCGTTGTTCATCAGATGGCAGTCTGCTTTTCGGTAACAGTGGTACGCTTCTGGCTCAACTACTGGCAGCGTCTCCTTGGTTATCTGGGAGAAAATCATCAATGCGTGGTCACTTTTACCTAAGGGTATCCAGCACAGACGTCGTCCGCCAAAAGATCATCGTCTGTAAGAACGTAGTACAATGGTGGTTCCATCTTGTCCCCATCTGGTGTTTCCCTAACCTTCTCCATCAGTCCTGCTGCCATAGACGTATTTCGAAGTGTGTTCGAAAGATGTATGCCCATATCTTGCTTCACATCCGGGGTTGAGTGCAGGTGTGTTAATGCCTCCAGCCAGAACCACGTGGTCATAGGATAGCGAGGCGGTTGTTGAAATGGAGCCGAAAGATTGTGCCTTATGTTCTGCCGTGCAAATGGCAGGCCTATATGCCAGCCCTGTTAGGTTCTCGGTTTGGTTTGTGGTGAAAGGCGCCACAGGGGGTATGGTAGTAAGCTGAACAGACCACAGGCCGCTTCCTTGACTTTTAGGTGGGTGCTAATGTACACGGCGACTCTCCCACCTTTTGAACTGCCTGACCTTTTGGAGCGGGGTCGTGTTAGACAAAGATATTTCCCCCTCCGCAATGTCCGGTGACAGCCACATTCCAGTGATGAGAATTATATCTGCTTGCAGATTATGGCACATTGTCTTTAGCTCCAGTATTTTACTCCTAAGACCTCTTACATTGCTGTAGAAGCATGTCAAGGAGAAACTTTCTGGGCTTGGTGCGATAAGGAGACTTGTTTGGAGGCTAGTGTGCCGTTGCATCGTGGTATCGTGTAGCACCTCCTATGTGGTTTTTCGCACCATACCATGCTGTAAGAGCTTCTGTTAGTGACACCTTGCAGTCAAAGCGCATAGCTAGCAATCTTGGTGAGGAAATGCTCTGCAAGTGCTCAGGTCTCGTTAACCTACCTATGTTGCTTGCAGGCAAACTTCCAATTTCCACTTTCACCGCTGACCGCCCCCACTGCCTGACATCATGAGGGTAATTTTCACGCCTTGTGGATCTATCCACCAGTTCGGGTATTCCATGCACCACCGTGGTAGCAAATTTGTGCAGATCACTAGGTGTAAACTTTCTCTCTGCCTGTCTGGCCACCCAAGGTTTGCCTAGTTTCACCCTTATGGGGCAGAAGCCTGCAAAATCTGGTCAGTGCGACAGCAGCAGTATATTCTCCGACTGTTTCGCTGTCTTTACTGATACCCTGTGAGGTGGCAGCTTGTCTCGAAGTGCTCTACTTCCTCGGGAGAGCCGGTATAAGTTGGCTGCTATGGTTTCCATTCCCAACTTCCTACAGTATTCGTCCCACTTCTCCTTGTCAGAGTGCTCTTTTTTCCTAAGAGTGTGTCCACTGGTATAGGAACGTTGGACAGAACAATGGAATCGGTTCTCTGGTCTTGGGAGTGCCGAATATTGGGCTTGGTAGCCGACGATTTTGGTCTGACCTGTACCCTATTCACCCTCGTCCATTCGTTCTCGGCGCAACCCATTTCTTCACGTTGTTTAGCTCCGTTGGAGTGATGCAATCGAGGACTTAGTTGGCGCCTCACTTGGAGTGTGAGCCAATTTCTTCCTACCTGTATGGGTGGGACTCTTGCACACTTGTAGAGCTTGGTCAGTTTCTGAAGGAAGATTATTGGGTTTCATGCTACCATACGCATTTGACTGCGCCGGGTTTTCCAGTTCGCCGGTGGTGATAGCAGGTGACTTCTTAAACTCTGAGCACATGTACCACATGCATCTACGTAGGTGCTTCCTCATAAAATTGTTGTACTGCCCTGGCGAAACATTACCACATTTACAGTACACCCCTCTAGGACAAATGTTGCGCGAAAAGGCTTTTTGAGGCTCTGGCACCGACTGTTTGCAAACACCACGGTCGTCAGAGGTTTGCTTTTTGTTGATGACTGGGTGGTTCGCTTTCTGTAAGACGAAATCAAACGTAGCGCGTTTCCCCCATGCTTTATTTTTCACCAGTGGTATAATTGGGG